CTCCCACAAGTGTCGTGAGTTCCTGACGGGCCCCGACTGCAGCTTCTCCAGCGTGAGCGGGACGCCCTGGAAGGGCCCGATCCACGTTCCCTGTGGGATCCGCTGGGCCGCACAGATGCCGTACCCGAGGCCCGGGACGGTGCTGGTGCACAGACACACCTCTCGAGGCAGATCCCGGAGCCAGTCCGGGACGTCCGGCGTGGGAACGGGCCCCGAGGAGCCGCTGGTGCCCACCAGCCGCCGCAGCGAGTGCAGGGGCCCGTGCATCGGGCACTCCCCGTTACGGTTATCAGCACACATGTCACAGCCTGCGGGACACACACACCAGCCGTTACACACACACACACACAGATGGGACCCTGAGCGGCCCTTCACTGAGACACACACAACTTTAAATTGTCCCTCTGTCAGACGATGCATGAAGACATTCCTTCTGCGGGTCAAGCCATCGGACACATACAGCCACAGATCTGGAGCGGAAATGTGCTCGTTTCTCAGCGTGATGTTCATGTGTGTGTGTGTGTGTGTGTGTGTGTTTGCACGACTTTAATAAAATATTATACAACTGAAATGAAATTAGATCATTTCTTATTCGCATTATTTCTTCGTCACATGCACACAAACTTTAACTCGTCCCTCTTTAAGACATTCCCATCACGCTTTATTTAAGGTGTCGTTGTTACAGTGTAATTATATATCTAAGTCTGAGTAATATTAATAACTTCATGCACTGACTATAGGGTTAGGTTTAGTATAGAATTTGTTATTTGCATGTAATTAGGCATCATTACTACGGTGTAAACTGTAAAATAAAGTGTTAGCGACGTCGCTTCTGCCGTGCTTTTACCATCATGAAGACTTTAAATCGAAAGCTTTGTTCCAAAAAATAGAGCTTTTTCTCATCATGACGGTTATGTGCTTATATTTCTGTTGTGCACTTTTTGCTAAAATATTATACAACTAAAATGATATTAGATAATTTCTTATTGGCATTATTTCTTCAGCGCATGCACAAACTTTACAGACATTTCTTCTACTGTGCATTAAAAAATCATGAATAAAGATTTGAAAGACAAAAATAGAGCTAGTTTCTCAGCATGATGTTCATGTGCTTATATTTGTGTTGTGCACAAAATATTATACAGCTAAAATTAAATTAGATCTTTTCTTTTTCGCATTAATTCTTCATGCACACAAACTTTAAATGGTGCATGAAGATATTTCTTCTGTGCATAAAAAAATCACGAATAAAGATTTTTCATGAATAAAACTTCAGAAATGAATGTAAAAACAGTTGCACTTTATATTAATCGTTCAAAAATGTGTTGTGCATTTAGACTTTAAATTAAAATATTTTTGCATGACTGAGAAAACCACTAAATGAAATTGTATATACTATGTTGTGACTCTTAAAGGATGATTAAACGCGTTTGAACACGAGCTGCTCATTAAACGGCACTATAGAAATTAAGCGCGCGGCTCAAAACAGAATTTTATTCAGGTTTCAAATCATCTAATTTAGTTCTGTGCATCAGAATATATTGTGTGCATCTGAAATTCCTCATGCAATCATCCGAGTGTTGTGAAGCACATGTGTGTATGTGTGTAAACGAGCTCCTCTGCTGTGAAATATGGGCTCGGGAGCGCGCGTGTAGATAAAGCAGTCTCGTGCCCCGGGAGACGCGCATGTCCCGCGCTGGGATGATGAATGTGGGCCGATGGAGAGATCGATCACTGATCCGGACTCACTCTACAAAACTATACAGCAATTAATTGTGTGTTGTCCGCTCATCCCTCATGTGCTCCTGCGTTTATCGATGGAGATCTGCTGATCACTCACACATCTCACACCAGCGCGCGCGTTTAGCGCGTTTAACGCGGAATTTAACGGGACAAAATCATTTGCGCAATTAATAAAGATTCAATTCAGAGTAGCTAAAAAAGATCTCAGTTGCTGACATTGACAATAAGTGTAATTATCACATATTCGATAGGATACCTCATAAAAAATATTGAATACCTAGGCTATCAGATTAAAATAAGTCAATTTAAATATACAAATCAGTTAAAACATTAAAGAAAATTTTCATTAAATATGTGTTTTAAAATGAGGCCGAGATTAAAACGAGCGTTTTCTTCAGTAGGAATGTTTTTAGGCATAGATTTCATTTGTGTTCATTTCCTTAATTTAGGTGAATAATTTCAGCATTTTCGCTGAAACTGTCGCGCGCTGATCCGGATAATAAAACAAAACTCGTCAAACTCGAGAATAAAATCAAACCATCAGAATTCAGTTCAATGCGCTGCACACAGTCTTTAGCCTAGCCTGAAAATAACTCGTTTAAAAAAAAAGATTACCTAGCACTTGCACTAATGCTATTTTCCTATAAAACTAAATTATTCAAAGTATATTTGGTTACACTTTATGTCATTGTTATAGTGCAATTATATATTAAAGTAGCCTACTGAGTAATATTAAGCATTACTATAGTGTTAGAGTAGGATTAGGATTTGGTTGAGGGTTAGTTGCATGTAATTATGCATAATTTACTGTTATTACAGTAGGCCTACATGTAACATATATAACGAGGACACTGTAAAATAAAATGTTACCTTATATTTCCTAATGCATTAATACACAACATCACATAAATTGACATTTTCCCCGATAACGTTTTGAAACACGGCGATCATTTAGTTCAAAACTCCCGAAAATAATGTTCTTCGCGGTCCTATTTTTTCAAGAATCATATGGATTATAGTTATAGGTTATAGGCTACTGTGGATTATTTTTGGGAAGTTTTTCAAATGTGTTTTTAAAGCATCAGACTTGTGATGTTTTCCAAAGAACTAGAGAATAAAAAGTTACACTGAAACCATTTCTTCTTTATAACCGAATCCGGTGACGCTTTTTATTTTACAGTGTCTTTGTTACACATAACTGTACATTGTACATGCAATTATACATGCAACTAACCCTAAGTACATGTAGTTAATTATTTCAGGCCTTTATGCTACTTAAATGCATAATTAAAATAAAGTGTGAGCCCGACTCCTCGTGGACGCTTTTTATTTTACAATGTCTTTATTACTCATGTAGGCAACTTAAAAACAGTAAATTATGCATGCAATTAATCATGCAACTAACCCTAAACATAAAAGTGCATGTTGTTTACTGATATTACTTACATGCACGATTGAAATAAAGCGTGCCCGACTCCTCGTGTGTGTGTGTGTGTGTGTGTGTGTGCTCACGGTTATTGGCGTCTCCGTTGCTGTTGTTGACCGGGATGATCTCCATCCTCTGCTGCCCGTACAGATAATAGTCCAGTTCCTCGGAGCTCAGCTTCAGTCGCGAGCCTTTATCGTTCTTAAAGTTGGACGACAAACAAAGTTCTTTGGCTTGAGAAGCGGCTCCGGTGTCGAACAGCGCGTGACTGAGGGAGCGCGCGGGAGACTCGGTGGACGAGCTCGAGCTCACGGAGATCAGGCTGGCTCTCGGGACCGGAACCGGCACCGGGTTCTGCGGGAACAGCTGCTGCCAGTGCTGGATGTAGGTCGGGTCCACTTTGAGGAAAGCAGAACCGCTGGGCTCGCTCGGCTTCAGCATGTCCGACACCGAGGAGGGATGATGGACTCTCATGTGCTCTTCCTCGCTGAAGAATCGATCTAGAACCACTCCAACTTAACTAGAACAACCAGAAGTGGAGAAGCCGAGCTGTTCTGCGCTCCTGCGCCTCATGTTTCTGGCGATCGCGAGGAAAGACACACTAACCCTGTCAGAAGAGTCCAGGCTGCGACTCCGGGACACTCGCATCAGCGCGCGCGCACGCACGCACACGCGCCCTCCGCCCACTCTCACGCGCACCGCGCGGGCACGTGCCCCTGGACGGACAGACAGACCCAGAACAGAAGTGATGCTGAGCATCTGTCTCACTCACGCCGGTTTGATTTATCAGTCCTTTTTTTCTTTTCTCTTTTGAAGGAAAAAGAAGTTTACGCATCGGACAGTCGCTCACTCTTAAACATGAAGCTGGTTTTCGCAGTGATGCCATATAGACGAACCATTTTTGGAACCTTTCCTAAAAGAACACTTGGTAACACTTTATTTTAACGTCCTTGTTACATATGTTACATGTACAATAACAGTCAATTATGCATAATTACATGCAACTAATCCTAAACCAAACCCTAACCCTACATAATATTACTCAGAACTCTTCAATATATAATTACACTGTAACTATGACACCTTAAAATAAAGTGTAACCTGGTGTGAAGAACACTTAATAATCTAAATAATCTCATGCGCAATGGAAAGATTCAATGGATGTTTATAGAAACATCGACGCAAATAAAGAACCTTTTTCTCGCGCGTGAAAGAATCATAAATGCTCGTCAGACTTTTACAGCTGTTTTAGTTTGCATGATGAATCATGCATTTTTATTTCCTCAGAGTTGAACACACTAGATAAGCGTGTAACTGGTTCCCAGCCTGTGTTGAGAAACTTGCAGCTGTCTGGAAAGCCTCGGGATCATCGGGATGTGGGGCATTTACAGCGAGGAGGGGGAATGTTTTGACTGGCAATATTCTGACAGGCCCATTCGTCATCCAGAAGTCTCTGCAGATTGATAACGAACCAAAACACAAACATAATCGTCTGAAAATGAATTCTCGTCTACAAATGCATTTCACCCTTAAAGAATGTGAGCAATAACAACCCGCGCAGATTTAGATTTTCGCATGGATATAACGATAGAGTTCCAAAAAACGTGCAATTGTCATTAAAAATAAATTAAATTGGGCTTTTATTTAATTGCATTATTAGTAGGCTATTTAAATAGCAATAATAAATGTCAAATACCTCAAAATAATTTATAGTTGTCATACTTCCAAATAACATTGCTATTATGACAGTGTATTGGTGTTTTTATTCATTGATAAACGAGCGGAGGAATAAAGTGCACTCGAGGGGCCGCGCGGATCGATACATTAACTGCCCAAATATATCATTTTCTGTGCCAAAAAAAGCGGATTATTAAAGCTTGGGCTTCATTTGTATATTTTGAGAGCGTGAAGAAACGTGTTTAGGTGTGTGTTTCATTAACATAGACTGCTGTTTGACATTCACTTAGAACCTTCGCATCTCTCGTTAATTAATTCCTCTGATGGCTGAAAGACAAATGAACGCGCAGTGTGACAGGAGTCCGATACACGACTCAGCCAGCGCCTCCTATTATAGTTTAAGGTCACGGGTTGCTGACTATATAATTCATTAATATAGACGTATATTCAGATGGGAGTTGATGCTCGTCCTGTTGTTGCAACTCATATTTATAATAAATGGCCTGTTAATAATCCGCACTGCAAATACGAGATTTATGGAAGTGCCGCGAGTGTGTTTTACATCAGTCTATTAATGATGCAAAAACGCTTTTGCTATTTATCCAATCAACAAAACTCTTTTTGCGACACTTTATAGAGAGATAAAGTGAACTCATTCGGACTCTCATAGTGTTTTCCTTTCCTGTGACAATATTAGTATAGTCAACTCACATTAATGCATGCTTTAATACGAAAGGAAAATAATATGATCGATATTAACTGATCAACTCGTTAGGCGCGTGTGTGATTTACTGCTCATTTGCATTGACTCTAATGATCCGCATTGAATATTTAAATGCGTGGCTGTCATTCTGTCAGAGGGGGCGCGCGAGAGCCTGTCAACGTCATCACACGCCAACATCTCATTTGCATTATTATTAGTGCTGAGCAGCGATTAATCGCATCCAAAATAAAACTTTGTGTTTAATATGTGTGTGTGTGTACTGTGCATAATTTTTTTCTATATATAAATGCACACACACATGCATGTATATATTTAAGAAAACTTTGTTATTTATAGCCTATATAAAATAAATAATGTATAAATATATACAGTATATACATGCAATTATTTCTCAAATATATATACATGCATATGTGTGTATTTGTTATAGAAAATAATTATACACAGTACACACACATATATTATGTAAACACAAAGTTTTATATTGGATGCGATTAATTGTATTTTATCATTGCCTTTTTATTTAAAAGGAATTTTTTTCAATGTACTTGCATGCAACAAACACGAGTCTGCTACTTGAGTTTGATTAAAGCAAACATCTGCATGATGCTTTAATGCAGTAACTCTGACGGAGAAGCACAGAAGCTCATCTCTGAGCCTTCAGTGGAGATAAAGCAGATCTGAAGACCTCGTTCTCCTTCTGTCTTCCTCAATTCAGTGCAGTGACTGAAGCTCGAGGCGCTCTGAGTCTGTGTGTGTAACCCGTCCTGACAAGAGCTGAATCTGGAGAAACTGCAATCAGTGCCGCTGTATGATCCACTAAACCAGATGTGGAAGAGCTCTCATCTCCATTAAAGATCTCTGTATGATCCACTAAACCAGATGTGGAAGAGCTCTCATCTCCATTAAAGATCTCTGTATGATCCACTAAACCAGATGTGGAAGAGCTCTCATCTCCATTAAAGATCTCTGTATGATCCGCTAAACCAGATGTGGAAGAGCTCTCATCTCCATTAAAGATCTCTGTATGATCCACTAAACCAGATGTGGAAGAGCTCTCATCTCCATTATAGATCTCTGTATGATCCACTAAACCAGATGTGGAAGAGCTCTCATCTCCATTAAAGATCTCTGTATGATCCACTAAACCAGATGTGGAAGAGCTCTCATCTCCATTAAAGATCTCTGTATGATCCACTAAACCAGATGTGGAAGAGCTCTCATCTCCGTTAAAGATCTCTGTATGATCCACTAAACCAGATGTGGAAGAGCTCTCATCTCCATTAAAGATCACTGTATGATCCGCTAAACCAGATGTGGAAGAGCTCTCATCTCCATTAAAGATCTCTGTATGATCCGCTAAACCAGATGTGGAAGAGCTCTCATCTCCATTAAAGATCTCTGTATGATCCACTAAACCAGATGTGGAAGAGCTCTCATCTCCATTAAAGATCTCTGTATGATCCACTAAACCAGATGTGGAAGAGCTCTCATCTCCATTAAAGATCTCTGTATGATCCACTAAACCAGATGTGGAAGAGCTCTCATCTCCATTAAAGATCTCTGTATGATCCGCTAAACCAGATGTGGAAGAGCTCTCATCTCCATTAAAGATCTCTGTATGATCCGCTAAACCAGATGTGGAAGAGCTCTCATCTCCATTAAAGATCTCTGTATGATCCGCTAAACCAGATGTGGAAGAGCTCTCATCTCCGTTAAAGATCTCTGTATGATCCACTAAACCAGATGTGGAAGAGCTCTCATCTCCATTAAAGATCACTGTATGATCCGCTAAACCAGATGTGGAAGAGCTCTCATCTCCATTAAAGATCTCTGTATGATCCGCTAAACCAGATGTGGAAGAGCTCTCATCTCCATTAAAGATCTCTGTATGATCCACTAAACCAGATGTGGAAGAGCTCTCATCTCCATTAAAGATCTCTGTATGATCCGCTAAACCAGATGTGGAAGAGCTCTCATCTCCATTAAAGATCACTGTATGATCCGCTAAACCAGATGTGGAAGAGCTCTCATCTCCATTATAGATCTCTGTATGATCCGCTAAACCAGATGTGGAAGAGCTCTCATCTCCATTAAAGATCTCTGTACGATCCACTAAACCAGATGTGGAAGAGCTCTCATCTCCATTAAAGATCTCTGTATGACCCACTAAACCAGATGTGGAAGAGCTCTCATCTCCATTAAAGATCTCTGTATGATCCGCTAAACCAGATGTGGAAGAGCTCTCATCTCCATTAAAGATCTCTGTATGATCCGCTAAACCAGATGTGGAAGAGCTCTCATCTCCATTAAAGATCACTGTATGATCCGCTAAACCAGATGTGGAAGAGCTCTCATCTCCATTATAGATCTCTGTATGATCCGCTAAACCAGATGTGGAAGAGCTCTCATCTCCATTAAAGATCTCTGTATGATCCACTAAACCAGATGTGGAAGAGCTCTCATCTCCATTATAGATCTCTGTATGATCCGCTAAACCAGATGTGGAGGAGCTCTCATCTCCATTATAGATCTCTGTATGATCCACTAAACCAGATGTGGAAGAGCTCTCATCTCCATTAAAGATCTCTGTATGATCCACTAAACCAGATGTGGAAGAGCTCTCATCTCCATTAAAGATCTCTGTATGATCCACTAAACCAGATGTGGAAGAGCTCTCATCTCCATTAAAGATCTCTGTATGATCCACTAAACCAGATGTGGAAGAGCTCTCATCTCCATTATAGATCTCTGTATGATCCACTAAACCAGATGTGGAAGAGCTCTCATCTCCATTAAAGATCTCTGTATGATCCACTAAACCAGATGTGGAAGAGCTCTCATCTCCATTAAAGATCTCTGTATGATCCACTAAACCAGATGTGGAAGAGCTCTCATCTCCATTAAAGATCTCTGTATGATCCACTAAACCAGATGTGGAAGAGCTCTCATCTCCATTAAAGATCTCTGTATGATCCACTAAACCAGATGTGGAAGAGCTCTCATCTCCATTAAAGATCTCTGTATGATCCACTAAACCAGATGTGGAAGAGCTCTCATCTCCATTATAGATCTCTGTATGATCCGCTAAACCAGATGTGGAGGAGCTCTCATCTCCATTATAGATCTCTGTATGATCCACTAAACCAGATGTGGAAGAGCTCTCATCTCCATTAAAGATCTCTGTATGATCCACTAAACCAGATGTGGAAGAGCTCTCATCTCCATTAA